CTGCTGGTAAGCTCCACAACAAAACCTCCAGAAACAAAGTGCTTAACAGCTTATGTTGCTGTTGCTTCATTGCCAGGATGGTCAGGTGACCAGAGAAGATGTGGGAGCTTTGTGGCGTTTGGCAGATGCAGATGGATGGGGCCCCAAAGTTGGCCAAGCCATGACTTCACAAGACACCCGCATGTTTGGCTGAGGAATATGCATTCTCAAAATGTTACACCCCTTTAGAGACCATTTCCCCCAAAAAAATATCACTTCATTACACCATCCATGCTACTTTGCTGCTGCATATTCAGCGCTGTCCCATCATACTTTGCTGCACTGGGTAGCTAGCTAGCTAACTAGGCAACGGCCGTGTGGACTTGAATGAGTTTGTCGCATTGCTGCGTCAAGCTCAGCTTGAGGCCGTGACAAACAGCTCGGATTGAAATGCCTGCATCATGAGTCCCTGATGTTCAAACTTTGAACTGAGTGTTTCTACAATACTATGTCTATGAACATGTTTCTGTTGAAGCTGCAGATTGTCAGACTTGGCAGTGTTGCCGGCAAGTGCTTTTTTGTAGTACAGCAGCTGCAGGGCATGACAACTTCCCAAAAGCCGCAGCCGAGTAGTGTCCCTGAGAGGGATATGATTCTGGAGGCGGGGCAGGCAAATGCTCATAGCTGAAAGCACGACCCTTCCTTCATGGTGTTTACACCCCGTGTACGGCCTTTGGAGCATTTTGAAGCTGCACTGCACTTGTCCAACATTTAGTGTATAGTATCGTTTAATAATTGTTACTTTACTATCAATATAAAGTATTTAGACTATAATTATGTTCCTTTGTACAGTGTGTATATATATATATAGTTTCACAAGCAGGACCTGGTAGAGTGACTTGAAGGGTCTTGGTTCGCTTCGTAGACAGAATGGCTTGAAAGTTGCAAGGCTCGCGTTGCACAAATGGAGCGCAGCTTCCGAAATCGCGGAGCAACGAACCGAGTTGAAAGTGCCCATCCATATCCAAGCTCGCAGGTAGATGATTTGCTGTTCATTTCACGACACTGTGATGGGTTTCAATACAAGCTGCTTGGATCGGTTGCACAAAAGAAAAATGATGAATGATGCTGCAGAACAAGGTATATGTGATATACACGTGCTGGAAGCGTTGAATCTCAAAATGGTTTGTCTCAAAAAGCATCCAAAAAGGTATAGTAATTGTACCATGGTAACATCCATTTCTGCACATGTAACATCCACAAGTCGTGAATCAGCACGTCGCCGGTCCCAACTGTCCTGTGTTGCTGTGTCTTCCTATTTCCTGTGCCATCAAGGCAAAATGGCCTGTTTGGATAGGCACCCGAAAAGGATAAAGCCAGGATGCACAAGGAACGTTTCTTGCAATGCAAGTGAAACTGCCTTGCTGGTCATTGATGTGCAGGAGTATTGTAGTCGACCTGAACGAGGTGTTTTCCGTGAAACTCCCAGATCGGCGTTGCCATATTTCTTTGATAGGGTTGATCACGAGATGGTGCCAAACATTTCCCAGCTATTGGCAGCAGCCCGACGAGCAGATGTGGAAATAATTTATACCGTTATTGAGGCCCTGACATTGGATGGTCGGGATCTATCTCTTGATTACAAGCTGAGTGGTCCTCTCTTTGTACCTAAAGGCCATCCTGATGCAGCAGTTTTGCCGGACATCAGACCAGACAGCGACGACATCATTCTGCCAAAGACCTCTTGCTCTGTGTTTTGCTCGACAAATATCAACTATGTTTTGCGGAATTTAGGAACTCGATATCTCATTGTGTGTGGACAACTTACCAATCAATGTGTCGAATCTGCAGTGAGAGATGCCGCAGACCTTGGCTTCTTGGTTACAGTTCCAGAAGATGCCTGTGCAGCAAAATCTGCAGCAGAGCACTCTTCAGGCTTGTTCAACATGAGAGGTTTTGCTAGAGTTGTTTCAACTGCTGAACTTCGACTGGAGCTGCTTAAGCAGGTGCAAGACAAACAAAGTTTGGCAACTGTGTCTTCGCCGCCAAAGCGGTCGATTTGCTACTTGAATGTGGCTTATGACGAGTTGTATGGTGCAAATGTTCCAGGCATGATGATGGAGATGTTCGGAGATGTTGGCGCAGGCAACTTTGACCTTCATACATGCAACGTGAAAACAGATGCCTTTCCTGTACATGATCAGTTCGATGGGTTCATCATCATGGGAAGCCTTTCCTCGTGTGCGGCAAGCTCCAAGCATGACTCATGGCTTCCCCGCCTACTAGGCTTTTTGCAACTATTGGTCCGTGAAGAGCGTCCTTTGGTTGGCATTTGCTTTGGACATCAAGCCATCGCGCTTGCTCTGGGTGGCACTGTGATAGTGAATCCAGCAGGGACGCAGAGAGGCCTCCAAAGCTATCCCACAACTGAAGACTCCAGATTGCGTTTGGACCTTCCCGAGGAATGCACTAGTATTTTCAGCCATCATGGAGATGCAGTTGTGCTACTTCCCAAGCAAGCTATATCTTGGGGATACTGTCACAGTGGACATTGGGGGATGACGCTCAAAAAGTGCTTGACTACTCAAGCACATCCAGAGTTTTCAACCAAGACGGGTTTGAGAGCATTGAGGGCATTGTTGGAGAAGGATCGCAAGTCCATAAGTTGCCAAACCGGATGGGTGCAAGGGTCTCCCGTGGAGGAGTTAGATCAACAGATCAGTCTATTGGACAGGCCTACCGACTACAAGAACTTCGCGGTAGCATTTGCTCGTGTTTTAGGCTTGCTTCCAGAGACAGGTAGAACCCTGGCATGACTTCCAAATATGGCCGTTGAAAATTGCGGCCGCTCGAGATGCATGGCGCAGAGCAAAAGAATTGCGATCTTGCTCACAATATAGTTAGGTTGCGTGCACATTCCGTCAAAATGTTTTTGCTTGGTTGCTTGGCTGACCATAGTAAGGTCAGCTTGCTGCAAGCATGCCAGATGTGTTGAACTCAGGAGTGTAATAGTCCCCAAGCTAAATGGTGGAGAGGCGGCTGCCATGTACTGCATGGATGTTTACCGCACAGTCCTTCTTTGGAGCCATTAGCTCAGGATGGATGTTGCTCGAATCGGTTTCCTTGATCGAAGTGGGAGCCCGTCTTAGAGAGAGCAGCGCGGCATCATGTTTGAGTAGTGTAATGTTGGAGCCTGATTAGTAAAGCGATCCTCTATCATGCTATATATATGTATAGATGTTTCAAAATATGTACACCAATGTGTGTGTGTGTGTGTTTTTAATGTTCTCTTTTGTACTATTTTTGGGGGGATCCTTCTTTTATCATCTGAAACATAGTAAGGTCTGAATCCTTCGGAGCCCTGTGAATACTACTAAGCCAATGACTGGCTTGCTGAGAGTATTGATGTAGGTATAGAATTCTCCAGTTCTTCTTCAAAACTAACAGCTTCCCAAAGCCATCAATTCCTTATGTAATCAATCTTTAATGTAAAGATTGCACCTGAACAAATGTTCAAGGTAGTAGACCAGGAAGGCCCCTGATCCTCAATAATGCACTTGCTTTAAGGGTCCTCAATTGTGCAAAGTGTTTCCTGAGCAAAATAAGAATTATATACTATATTAATACTACCAAGCCAGTGGCTGGCTTGCTGAGAGTATTGATATATATATATAGGTATAGGTTTCTCTACTTCTTCTTCTTCAAAACTGACAGCTTCCCAAAGCCATCAATTCCTTAATCAACCCTTATGTAAAGATTGCTCCTAAACAAATTTTCAAGGTAGCAGACTAGGAAGGCCCCTGATCCTCATCAATAAACTTATTTTAAGGGTCCTCAGTTGTGTAAAGTTTTTTCCTCAGTAGAAATAGATTTAAGAAAGTCTTAATACCACTAAGCGAATGGCTGGCTTGCTGAGAGTATTGATATAGGTATAGGCTATAGGTTTCTCTAGTTCTTCTTCAAAACCACAGAGAACCTGAGAACCTTCTTGGTCCTCTTCTTAACAGTATAAAAGGATCGCTGAGAATATCTACAAAGAACCTGAGAAAGAAAATTAATACTACACTCAGTTACAAATGGAATCCTCCCAGGAACCCAATTTGTCTTGGTGCAAGTATATTGTAAAAGACCCCTATTTGCTTAGAGGAGGAGGGACCCCTTTTACTAATCAGGATCCAACATTATTATAGAAGGGTTTACACATCGTCCATTCTTTGACCTGTGTTTGTGTTGAGTTTGCTATGCTGGAAGGCACTACGTTTGAGCCACATTTCATTGATGCAGGCTCCGGCAGCTCATGTCAGCTGCTGGCGTTGACTTAGTAGCTTGGATGCATGGAAGGTATGGCACCCAAGAGTTTTCAAACAGGGAGTGTGAATGTTCAAGTGTTGTTGGGAGGGCGTGCGATGTTCAACGTGTATGCACAAGATCAATGCAGAACGATGGATGTCGTTCATCCACAGCCTTGCAGAAACGGCACCAGAATTCCAGCAAATGTTGAAAATGATGCAATCTTTGCAAATTGTTTGCGGCATGTTTGCTTTATGTGGCGTTGTTTGTGTGGCGGTTTCCAATACAGCACAGGGTAGTGCTGTCCAATTTTTTAGCATTTTAAGAATCGCTCTTGATGTGCAAATGCTCGGGCTTTGAAGAAAATAGAGGGAGGACCAGACCGAACTACACTTTTAAGGCTGTCATCCTACATGATTTTGTCATTGTAAGCATTGCCTGCCGTGCGTCAAGAGTACAGGCACAGGAACCTTTGCATGACTGTTCTTGCTCTATATTACGTAGAGCGGATTGAAGCTTACACGTCGCATCCAGGCAGGCTGGGAGCAGGAAGATCTCATCCGACGATGCGATACAGGTCGAAATGGCTTGCCGGGGGCTAGCAAAGAATGTTTTGAATCGCCAGAGTTCATTTTTCTGGACCTGGGATGCCTTCAGTTCAGGGTGAACTAAGATTCAGTGTACTTAATCCCCAGTGCACAAAGTAATGGATGTGATTCGCACATTCCAAGCAAGCCGCTGCATTTGGGCTAGCTCAAGCAGAAGTTGTGTCGAGAAATGTGAATGCAGGGTGGAATTGCACGGCCGGGCCATGGCCCCGTTGAGCATCATGCAGCCACTGGACTTTGTCAGCGACTTACATCCTGATACATCATGCATCCTGAAGTGATGGGAGTGTGCACAGCAGTGACTTGCGGTAAGGCATCGAAGCGAGTAGCTCTTCAGCGGTTGACAGCCCCTTGGTACTAGTAAGGGGTAAGTCTATACAATTCTTTACATATTTGGCTTGTTTATAATACTGTGAAACTCTTAATAGGCACAATGCCGAACAGTGGCATAGAGACAAAGACATAGAGTTTCATATAGATGCCGCAAGGAACCAGTGCGGAGATCTCCTCGAAGACTGGCTTCCAATTCTTCCTCCGAACCACCTTTGTCAGCTGCACCTTGTATTCGCAATTTTGCGCTTCAAGGAGACGATTGATGGAAAAGATAGCTTTTCCTGAGGTCGTTTGAGCGAAGGGTTCTTAAATGAGAAGGTGTGTAGATCTTCTCGGACCTCACATTGTTCATCTCTCACATCTTCACATCTCATATCTTCCTCTCTCATTGTTCACATACTTCTTCCTTAGGCGGGGATGGGGTGGCAAAGGTGCCACGAAAGTCAACCGTTTGTGAGAATGGTGCGTGTCAAGTGCTGCAAATTTTATGATCGAATTGTGAAGCTGTCGCCGAACATAAGGTTTGAGATTGCCAAAGTGTCAGACTACTGTCGCTGAAAGCGAAAGGCTTCAAGCTTGCAAACTGATCGCGTTGAGTCTTTTTTTCGGCAAGCTGTGGTTGCCCGACCGCCGAGGTCTCGAGTTCGATCCTGGGCGGTTCCTGGCTTGGTGGCCAAAGTGGGAAGCTGTCGTTGAAACTCTTTGTGCCGAACTGGGCTTGCTGTCACACAGTTGCACTTCACAGTTACATTTGTGATGGCGAGTGGGAAATCGCGCTTGTGTGGCTCCATGGCGTTGGGGGACGGGAAACATGTCAAAGGTAAACGGTAAACGGTAAACGCGACATGCCGCTAGGGATCGGAATGGTGCAAAGGATGGCCTTGGTGTCACCTGGCTGCATCAAGACTGCAGGTGCGGGCGCGGGCGTGGCACGCTTTGACTTGGGAAGGCACGGGGCTCTTTCGGTTTTGCGTTGTTTGTAAATGCTGCGCCCAAGCCATTGTGCGTAGCCGAGCCCAAAGGAGGTCATCATACATGTTATGCTGGGGTGGCTTGCACTTTGCCGCCTTCGTTTCTAATGCCCACTCTCCGTACTCACATCTTCTTGTTGCACACGCCCTTGCTTCTTTGACTTTGTTTCTCACATCTCTCCGCGCTCTCGGGCCACCTGTCGTTTGGTCTAGCGGCCTCGGCGTTACAGCACTTCTACCGTTTGTCTAAGGAAGTTGTTTTCTGCCTGCTGGCAGTTGGGAGCAGCTCATGCCACGCTTGGCCGACGCGTGGCTGCAAAAAATATGAGTTTGAGTTGTTTGAGTCAAGGACTTTGACAAGTAAACAGCCCAGCCGACTTCCTGCCAATTATTGTATAGATTTGAGGAGTCAAGGGGGCTCGATGGCCTCACCTCGTAGACCAGTGCCTATTTTTGCCTTGAGGAAAACAAGAAAATCTGCCGCCTCTTTGTTCGGCAACCGCCGAGACTCCCTTGCACGCTCACTTCTGGCAGCGTTGCAAACGACGGCGTTCACTCATGCAGCTGTGTCTAAAGTATACAAATCCTGACGGCTTCAATCTCAAAGCCGTTGGTTGCACTGCAACTGTTTGTGTGCTGAAGGCGCCACGCACCGCAGCCGCAATATTGTTTGAAGCTGGCAAGCGCTTCAAAGATTTATCATGGTGTGTGGTTGGTCCGGAGTTCTTGCAACAGCCTTTGGAGTTCCTACTGCACCAAGTTCATTCAATCATTGTTGTCGATTGTTTTCTACATACGGTGGTGTGCCTGTGTCATTGATATTCCGAGCTCAGGAACTCACTGAGTTCGGGATATTGCGGCGCTTGCGACGTGTTGCTGACCACCGGCACTGTTTTGTATTGATTGGCTGTTTCTTTAACTCAGCAGCATTGGTTATTTGCAGAGGATCGCACGAATCAATGATCAATGCGTCGTCAAAACAAGCAGTGGTAAGCAGAAATAAGGACCAAGAAGAGGTGCCGGGAGTGGTTTTTCATCAGCAAGACCCAGGACAGGCCTATTTCAATGTTCTACGTAGTTGTTTGGATGTGTGCAAAAGGCAAGAAAGTTGCTTGCTCAATCTTTTTGATGGGGATGGGGACTCATTGCACGCACATTCTGCACAGCCCTTTGCATTGCAGGACCTAGAGGGTTGCGGGAAGCCATTCTGTCTTTCCTCAACAAGTTGGGCGACGCTCAGGTCCGGGAAAAGACAATATTGAAATTTAGGTACACGTTTGGAATATGTGTGTGTGACTGTACGTGTGTATTATGTGTATATCTATGGATGTATAACATAATATACTGTACATTTATATATGTGTGTGCGCATGTGTTTGTCACGTTGTGGGGTACAAAGCGATGGTTTGAACACATCAATCCAGAGATGCCATGTTGATTCTTGACAGCCCTTGCAAACAGGCAAGTGCAGGAGAGTTGTACAATGATAGAAGCTGGAAACATCTTCAAATCAAGAAGTCTGTTTTGCAGGTGGTCGCGAATTTGATAGATGATAGAAGCGTTTCGTTCCAGCGAGGATTCCGCGGTCGTGCTCTTGGACGACACTTTGCGAAGACGATGCATATTCTTCTCATGCGAGTCTGCAACAAGCAGGGTTCAAGATGCGCTCCAGTTCTTTGTTGATTGTTGACGCACTGAGCACTCATTGCAGCTCAGGAAAGCTATCCTGCTGTACCGGTGGCGGGAAGTTTCAGGTCTACATTGGTACCAGATGCTAGCGTATGCCCAGCGCGTCGCGTGGTCTTCTTCCTGGGATGCTTGGCTTCAATTATTCTTCTCATTTGACCTTCAAGCAAGAGAACTCAACCAAAATTGCTGTCCGGCAAGTATGCACAGTTTATAGATTTGTATGTTGAGAACCGCATATGCTGAGCCGAAGGTTGTCCCAGAGCAGACTTGCCCTCAGCTCGAACATGACATGAATTCTGCTGTGGAACGGAAGCGCCTCGACTGGGTGATTGCTCCATAGAGACCGTGACAGTGAGGTGGATGAGGACCAAGAGGCTGCAATTTCATGGGCAGCAGAGAAGGCCAATTGGCAACTACTCCGCTTTAGCCTTGGTGACTTGATGGAAATGATGGACACATTATTGCAGCAAAGCTTGGCTTCACATTGTGCACTTAGTACTGTAACACTTGGAAAGGAAATACCTACGAAATACAGTCTAACACATCCGTTGATACTTCTTGGCTGACGCTAGCTGGCAGTTTTGAAGGCTGGGTGAGCGAATTCACCTCCAAAATTGTGAGCCGGATCAAGCTATGGCATGCAAGTGGTGGTCTTCTTCCAGTTGTGGGTGGGCTTCTTTGCATTGAAAGAGGGACTGTGCACTGGCAACCACCAGCTGATGCTGATGGATTTTTGCAGGAGACACTGCTATCATTTTGGTGTTCTTGCATGTTCAACTGTCCCATGCAGGCAGTTCAAACGCCTTCCACGGCCTTTAGCAGGAGAGCTATGGCGACTATGGTTGGCCTTCACCGAAGAAGGTGGACAGCTTCGAACCAGGTTTGGGACCCCGCATCCATTTCGTGGTTCACGTCACCTGGAAAGCACAAAGATCACAGCCCAGCTTCATGGGTTCGCCCTGTAGCGACGTAGCACATCTCGCATGGGCCAAAGGCCGCCAAAGGCACGCCATTTGACCAAACCCTTACAAAGACAGTCCGGTAACATTTAGCAGACAATCTCTCCAAAGTAAAGGGAAAACATCACAACACCTGGATCTAAGGCCATACATACAGTTATTTAATGTTTAATGTGTTTTTTTGTCAAGCCTTATCGTTCTCCCAGGTACAGCTTCAACTCAAGGAGATGAAAATTGGAGACTGGTCGCCGGCACACTCCCTTGTTGCGCGTTGCTGTTTGGCAGCGCTTTGGCGCGCGCTGCTCGCCTGATACTTTACTTGACGTGTGATCACTTGTGCAATTTGTGTACTAATCATGATTTGAATCAAAAGATATATAGTTGGTTTGTCGGGACCTTGTGTCAAGGCACGGTGCTTACTACCGATGTTTGGTAGCCTTTGTATTCCTCCCGGATGGACAGGGAGCGACGCCAGATGGAGCCTCAATGAGCCTTATGAATTTAAGGCAACCCACCAAGTGCGGAGCACGTGAGAATGGAAGACCTTCATGATCAGGTCGTTACAGTTTCGCGGAAATTTGCTGGGCGCTTTATGGGCAAGGCATTAGCACGGCAATGTTGCGCAGTTTTTTTTGACTTTTTTGTGTTATGAGCATACTGCCATTGATCCTTGGAGCTGTAGAGGCAGCTACGGAGCACGAAGTTCTTGTGGCCTTATGTGCAGCCATTGATGATGCCAAGCAAAGACCATGCACAAAGCAAAAGCCAGGGAAGTGGGCCGTTTGTGATTTGACGGCACTTTACAGCCCTGACATTATGCAATGTTTCCCAATTACATTTACGTTTGAGTTTTCAGGTGTGCGGTGGCCAGAGACACAAGCGGCCTGGAAAACTGTGGTGGCCTACCCAAAGGACTCTACTGACTTCAAAGTGCATTGAACGCTTGATTTTTACGTGGTCAGCATGTGGCTTGCAAGAAGGACCGTAATTCCTGTAGTATATTGTTTGATACCTTGTGGTGGCTTAGTGTTGGACGATATGAGGCATGTGCCTATCCAACAACATACTTGTAGGTGCTTTGAGACATTTGCATTTGCAAGTGCCCGAAGCGACTCGAAACCATCCAGGACTCTGTGGTTGAGCTGGTGATCAGAGGCTCAAGCTGCTCAGAGAAATCGAGCCTTAGCAAAAGCTTGGGGCTGCTGTGCCCTAGACAGTCCATTTCGCACAAGGTGTGCGGGGTGTAGACCACACTTCTCAGGAGTGGCAACGTCCTCTATCTCGCATCGGCTGACAGTGGCATAGACGTGCGTGCTTTAGCGCGAGCTGCAAGAGATTTGATGCTGTTCGGCACGTTGCATGCACTTAGTTTCACGCTCAGGTGCTAGTGGTCCATGTTCTCAAGAGGCACACCCACCTTTCAGATGCATTGCATGCTGTGCTTCAGCCTGCTGTGGTGGCAACCAACAGCGCGGTGCTTTGGCTCCCACGAAGTCTCTAGTGTATGTGGCAGTCAAGACCAATCAAGCGCATTGTCGATATCCAAACTGAAGACAGATCCAAACTGATGCTGAAGCTTTCTGCTCTCTCTGAGGAAGTCATTTGTATCCTCCAGAGTGCTTTATTGGATACAGGGCCGGCGGGTCGTGCCCTTTTGGCAATGCTGCTGGAGAAAAAAGGTGTAACGACAAGGCCGCAAGAACCGCTCAAACCCAAACAGTTCAAAGTTCAAAGCCATCAAAACCAATGTCAGAGCAGCTTTTTCCAACAAACAAACCGCTGCCAAGTCAAACAATGTGTTGCGAATCTGAGCCGAGGCTGAACTACTACGAGCTGGCTCGGCAGTTCGACTTTCAGGCGCAGGAGTTTGCCTCAGTGGGCTGGTACAAGATTTATGGTTGCCTCATGAGTCAATACTTAAATGCTGCATGATCCTTCGCCTATTGCTGGCACACATTGTTGTACTTTGTGCTGCAGCTGCTTGTTGGCTTTGTTGGGTCACAGATTTTTGAATGCAGAACAGATTGTGCCAAGCTCAATTTGCCTGTGTGGGATGGCATCAATTGCATTGGCTGAATGTTTTGGCATGTCAAAGCAGCATCACAAACAGTATCAAACAGTTACACAGAATCTTCGAAAGCGCTGCGATGCTACAGAATTTAGAAGTGTTATGAACTGTACTGTCATGCATGTAGTTACTAAACTCAAATCCTAGTTGCAGTCATTCGGTGCTGCCATGGCGTCACTATAGGACAGCCATATTGAAATCAAGCGGGCTTCAATTAAGTTTGCTTTCACCAGCTGGCTGCAGACATCAAGATCAATCCAACGTTCACGTGTCAGAGCCTCCTAACTTCTTCCCATCTACTTGTATATATATATATAGTGGGACATTTTGGTACTACTTGTCATCATGAGCACTAGAGGAAGTAGTCTGCAGCAGTTTGTTGTAGTTGTATGGCTTATCGCTTGTCCAGTTCAACAACTGTGGAGCGCATTGCAGATTCCCGGAGCGATGGATGCTCCTGAATCACCATCCGGTGGCACCAGAGCTGCGGAGGCAGCGATGTGGGCGAATGTGCTGGTAGCGATGTACAATACCAGAAGATCCAGAGAGAATCACAACACATGCTCACAACAAATTCGATCCAATGTCTACATGCCAAAGAAACGAGCAAAGCTGATGCAGTCATTGGCACCGCTTCGCGGGCGGGAGACCCTCAAATATTATACAAGCTGCCACGACAGGTAGATACTGAGATCGAAGACAATGGAATGGCAAATGCAAGTGAGCATTTGGACCAGTGTCTAGTTTGCATTACTGTACTTTGGCAGCTTGTGCTGATACACAGATTTGGATATTCAGTTCGCTTCGCGACGACAACCGCCAGCACCAGTTCCTTTGTCAGAGAGAGAGAGAGAAAGAGAGAGCACGAAGAACACATGTTCCAATCCAACAAGCGAACTGAATGAATACTGTAGTTTTCGACCGCCTTGATTTTTTACATGTACTGTAGATCATTTTTGTGGTCAACATATTTTCGACAATGCCTTCAGTTTCCCAGTTGTTTTTCCTAAATGCTTATTTTATTCAACCACTTAAATTGTATTGCATTGTTGTATATATTTGATTGTCCTGTATCTTATCGATTGAGCTGGATGCTATTGTGTCATATTGTATCGTATTGTATGTACGATCTATATTTTACACTCCTCCATTCGACCCCTGAAAAATGATGAAAAATGTACATCTTGAAGGAGGTCAAAGCAAGTATGTCCATCACTCACTCTAGTCCATGTCCAATTCAACACCCCGGACTATTCGTAAATGAACTGAGTACTCTATGTTTTAATCCTCTTGAAGTTGTACATGTTTAAGGGATCGAAACTTATATTAAACAATGCCTGCAATTTGCGCTGTGTCATTCGATCTCTTCGATTGATGATCCAATCGATCATGCCCTCTCCAACCCAACTTCCCACCCCATGATGCACTTGCAACCTTTTGCATCACCATATCCATGAACTCCTGTCCACTGTTTTGGCAATTTCTTACTGCAAGCGTACCACTTCATGCCTTATACCCTGCACCTCCCGGATCATACAGCACACCACCACTTCCAGTCCAGACACATCTCACGATGCCGGATATGCAATGTTGTTCCCAAACGAAGAAGGCCCACCTAAAGCTATATGAATGCACCACAACTCAATCATGCCCCTCAGCGCCTTCGATGCGGGCAGATTTCCACAACCAAGTTGCTGGCACAACTTGTTCAAACTTAGGTTTGCAGGCGATGAGATTGATGAAGAGCTCGACCCACCAGCCGATCACAGGACAGAAACTGGAAAATTGAAGTGGCAGAATTGCTATGCTCTTTAGGACTCAAGACTAACAATCTTGCGCATATAAGGGCCACTAGGGCTGCTTCGCAAGAGCTAAGCATTCATACAGAATCTCAGAAACACATATATAGTTGTTCCCAATCGATAGAAACAGTTTCCAACACAATTTTGACAGGGATGTTACGTGTCTATCTATTTGGGGGTCTCTATATATATGTATATGTATATATTTTTAGAGAGAGAAAGTTACTTGTAGCTGTTGGCTGATATAAGTTTGGCCTTCTGGTGGGCACGAAGCCCAAATACACCATACAGCAGAGTAGATTTGTAGGAATTCCCTGTCGCCAAGAGACACGCCATGGCCTCAGCTTGTCCAGGAGAATGTTTGCAAGTTTGTCGCTAAGGTGATAAAGATGTCAAACGATCGCTTTTTCTGCGGATTTTGCTCATCATTTATGCACACTGTATCCCTGCTCCCCGTTATGTCCATTTTCCTGGACAACTAGAGCACCCATGTTATGACCACGGCTTTACTGGTGTGGATGTGGATTTACAGGTTCCCGGTACAAGCTTGTCAAACAGTGTTGGTCGAGACGAATGTAGGAAAGAAGCGGATGTGTATATACAGTATATACATACAAAATACATCAAAATACTACCATGTAAAGGTGTTGGCGGGTTTGTCATAAGACCACTTGCTGCATGGATAAGCATGTTTCAGAGCAATAGGCCTGCCTTGAGAAGGGGTATGCTGGATGGAATCCACAGTCAATGAATGAAATGATTGTTCTATATTGCACAAAGAAGCCAGCAGAAGGTCCACGCAACCACATGCAATTTATTTACGCCCCGATTTTGGATTTCGTCCAAGCTTGGATTTTGCAAACAAAGTCACGCTGCTGCCAAAGCCACAGGCCGTCCAGTGTCGCGGATTACTCAGTACCTGTCAAGAACAAAGAGGCCTGGCTGTAATTGTCCAAAAGACAAGCTTCTAAAGAAGCCCCCAGTCAGTGCAATACAATTGCAATCCTTCAAAAGATTCGATAAATCTATATAAGTTTATTCAAAGCAAGCTTGAACAAGCCTGACTTGTGTTTGAAGATGTTTGAAGTGCCAGGTGTGGAAGCAATTTGGCTGCGAAACTGAGGCGTAAGTGACGGGATCTTTGTGGCTCACTGGTTCACAATGGTGTTTGCATGTTTGGTCTGCACTTGGCCACCAGGCTGGCCGAATGCTCCGCAAGCTTTACAAGGGTGAGACTTGGTTGAAGGATGTTACTGTAGACCTTGCTCAAACTCGTGCCTCAAATCCAAAAGACTGTTCCACCCCCCCACTTGTCACTTGAGCCCAGAGTCGACGGGTTCTGTAATGAAGAAATGCACCACACTTGGCTCTCAGCCAAGCTAGGCACCGGAGACCCGAGGTGGGCCCGAAAGAAGCAGCCTCGAAAGTGACATATCCGCAGCTTCCTTCTCCATCCAAGCGCAGAACACTCAGGAATGTTTTATCAAATGTAGATATTGTCTACTGTCTGTCTACTTTCCCGTAGTGTTTGACAAGTGGCAGGCTGGGAGCCAGCTCCGCGAGCAAAACCTGCTCCCAAGGTGCCTTTTGTTGGCACAATGGCCGTGACATGCAATTCTTGGCAAATGGTGACTTTCGAAGATTAGGCACCTAGTCACAGGCCCAATCCAATCAGCAAAGTTTTGTTTGTGACAGAATTGGTGCTGGCCAAACGCAAGGCGTTTGTGCGGGTGCCACGGTCAGCAATTCCCAGGCGCACCACTGCTTGACCCGACATTTGTTAACTGTATTACTTCGCTTTGGCCGCTGGCCCAAGTCGCAAGTACTGCCCACAGCCCATCCCTACCTACTAGGCACCCACGAGGTATCACAGGGTAATAAGAAGCCTTTTCATCATCATCGAACAGTTTCCCAGGCGCGATATGGATGATCCTAGTCAATGGCCTGCACCGCCCATACCTTGCAGGAGCCATCAGAATGAAAGATTGATGAGAGTAGTGGGCACTGGCACTAGGTTAGGCCCAGCATGCCTTGCTTTTACTTCTATGTAAGTAATCTTTTGAAGCTAGTCCAAGCCTGACCTTCCCTAAACAGTTTTTGCTGAGCACGGTGAAAAGCTGGCAATTAAGCTGTCAAGTCGTTGGTAGAGGTCCTTTCTGCAACAAGTCACTGTTTCACCACTGTTGGAGATCGGAAAAGTAGGTTTGCTTTACCAGGAGGCCTGCGAAGGAGATCCTTGCAGAGCTCGAGGCCTGACTTCTCAAAATGATAATAATTCAATATTGCAGGAGAAGTGCAACATGTGGACACGAGTGTGCGTGCACACATGATATCGGTTTGTGTTTGGTGAGCTTGTTATTAGCAGCAAGCGCGTCCTGTCTATTTTTGTGTGAGCCACGTGCAACCCACAGACAAGTATGCGTTTCAATGCTTCTAGGCAGAGCAAGCCCGGCGGCTACGTACAGTCCCTGACCTGCCAAAGGGTAGAAACCAGGACCTCGAGAAGCAAGGCCTTCAGGACAGGAGTGAGATGACGAGTATGGGGTAGCAAGAGACACCTCTCCCTAGCATTGTGACTTGCTGACATGATGTAGTTGTTATGTAATTGTTGTTTCATTTTTTTAAGCTTTTTGACCTCGAACGTTGAGGGTCATTTGTTTAAGTTTAAACTTCCTTGAAAATTAGAGTGTTCTTTGCTTTAGTTGCAGGCTACTTCTTAGGTTGAATCCTACAGAAAAAACTAGGCTCGAATCATACAGAAACAAGTCCTCGAATTCCACCCAAAAAAAAGCACCATACAAACACCTAAGAGAAAATTATGCACGTTTGGCAGCTAGCCTGCCTAAGGAAGTCTCAACCATAGCACTGGTGGCTAGGAGACAGAGGCCGCAGTTAGTCTTGCGATAAAGAACTCCATGCACAGAATCAGAGAGTGAAGAAAAGCTTTCATCCATCAAAAGCCTGTTGACATCGCTTTTCACGAAAGCCAGCACCAGCTAGCTGGAGTTGTTCTTGCTTTAGCAAGTGAGGGGCTGGAATCCTCGAGAGCGCCGCATCGCGTGAAAACTTCATGTGTAGGGGCCCCCCCCCCCCCCCCCCCCCCGTGGGTTCAACTCCTCCCTGGGACGTCTCTGGGACATGTGTATTTCCGCTGGCGGCTGGCAGGGGGCTGACTGCTCCTGTGGCGGCAGGATTTGGACCCCTTTCTCGGTCGGATATCCCCCGCTTCACCCCTGCCCTGCTAGCTTTCGTCACCAACCCTCGGCCTCAAGTCATGTTGTTTCAGAGTATTGTGGCTTCCGATACGAGCGAGAACGTGTCTTTAAACAGCGCATTTTACCGACGGCCGCCGCACCCTGTAAAGTGAGGAACGGTTCCGCTATTGTGGTGCCAAGATGCTGCCTAAAGGGAGCATGGGCTACGTTGAGCCTGGCGAGCTTCCAAGTGGAGAGGAAGAGGCTGGAGTCACTGAAGCTTAGCTGGCCTAGCCGCCTAGCCTAGTTCCTGTTTGGACAATGAGTAGCTACTAGGGCTTTGGAGCGTCGCAGCTATAGATTCCATGGGGGGAGGGGGAGTGGAACTTGCGCGAACTAATCAGAAGGTAAGGTTATAAGGTTGCATTTCCGTGAAGGAAGGTACCAGCATTGCCGAACATCAAGACATTCCATGATAGCCGAAAACTTGACCCCAGCTTTGTCCATGGCAGAAAGACCCCAGAGTCTCCAGAGTATGGTAGAAGCACCCCCATACAGAGCAACGATCACATTCTGACTCAAATGCGTTTGTGCAAAATGTTTGGTTGCTCCCAGCTCCGTTCATGGCTTAACGTTCTGAGTGCAACGACGAGCTGGTCCTCGCACATGAGTGAGCACACCTGTGCTCTCATTTGTGTGGTCTCACGTGCTTGCTCAGATATGTGCTTTCACAGCTGCGCTCTCACAGGTGTGCTGTCATGTGTCCGCTCTTTTGCCTATGCTCTCACAAGTGCCCATCGGAATGCGCACGTATGCATGCTCTCATGTGTGTGCGCACTCATGCCCGTGCTCTCATTTGTGTGTTCCCATGTGTTTGCTCACAGTGCTCTCATGTGCTTGCTATGGACTACGGAAGTTGGCGTATTCACCCTTGTTTTCTTCTACTCAATGTGTGTGCAACTTGTTCCCCATTGTCGCAAAAACATGCAAAAACGAAAGTTCAGGGGTAAGCGCGGCTGATTTGCAAACAAAGCTAGAGAAAGAGAGAGGATGGAGCTGGGGGTGTTTGCGCCACGATCACGTATGTCAATGCTTTGTTCACATCGTCACGAAAGGTAGCCCTTTAGGGGATACCTTGAGTTTGTCTTGCGAAGCAAGTGTTGGGACGTCCGGGTCTAATAATTGATCATAATTGATCGCTCAATTCAGACCCCCCCCCCCCCCCCCTCCCCCCCTCTAAAATCAATTCTCTCCTGGAGAACGTCTTCGTGAGCCTCTCATGATTTCAGGATAGTTGAAACCCTCTTGAACATTCAGAAAGAGTGAATATGAAATTCTAATCACGAAAGGTGTTCCCCGCGGGGATACATACCTAGAGTTTGTTTTGTGAAGCACGTCAATTCTCTCCTGGGGAGCGTCTTCGTGAGCCTCTTATGGTTTCAGGATAGTTCAAATCCTATGATGTTCCGATTCAATGCTCACCGATGATCTGAGCCATGGGGCAAGTTTGTTTTCCTAAGAATCTTTTTGAACATTTCGAGAGCACATGTTTGAACATTTAAAGTGCATATGAACATATATTTACGAAAGGTCGCCTCCGAGGGGATAAATCACCATGTCGAACATTGCATTTTTGTTCCTGCCTCTCGCGTTCTCTTCTCTTCCCGCTGTCCTACCTTTCGTGTCTCCCTCCTCTCAAGTAAAGGTAAGGACTCTGGAATTGCATGTTGCATTGGGAGTTTCCTTTGTCATTTATGATTTCAGTAAGCCCCCCCGTTCAGGCGCTTGCCACCAATTGTTTGATCAGATAACGCGCACCTAGGATTAAGTAACCGCCCCCTATTAATCAATCCCAGCTCGACCCCCCCAATACTAAACTAATTTAAAACCTAGATTTCCACCTTGATCCCCGTATATAATATGTTTTTTTCCTGTGCAGACACCGCCCCATATTAATCAATCCCAGGTTCCCCAGAAAAATAATAGTTAACGTATTATGTGTATACTTATTTTTGTTTACTTTCTTCATGTTCTTTTGCAAATGCTTCTTTACCTTCTTGTTTAACTAATATTCCTATTTTTTACCTTCTTCACGAACTACTCATTGTCTTCATGTTCTCACCAATCCTTTTAATGGCTTCTCCTAAGGGCTCATACCAGCAACCATCCCCAAAAAAAATCTAGCAAAATTCGTTCATTTTCCGCATGTTACCCTTTTAACACTCTATAAAAATCTTAACTTGTCCAAGCTCACAAAGGGTACCCCTCACACAGGCCCTAACCCCCCCGCAATAGTGGGGCCCCCTCCCCCTATTAATCATCCCACCCTCTGGCCTCATTCTTGTCTTCTAATGCTTTCATCCTGCAATCCTCTTCCTTGTCCAAATCTTCCCAACCAAACCATCATCCATCATCAGGTCCAGGTCCCTCATCTCATCCATCATCAGGTCATCACCTTTATTAGGGGGATGTGGTCCTCCAATACCTCCAATCTCTGACCTTGTTGACCTTGAAGGGGGGGGGCCGTTGATTAATCCTACCTTGCCGTTACTCCGCACTTTGCCTGCAAAAAGTATGCAACGTCATAGTCATAGCGGAGAATGATAGCCACCACTATCACCGCAAGAAGCAAGTGTCGGTATAAGTCGGTATAAGTATGTTGAATTGTCATAACAAACGTCCCGTACTCAAAATCTTCCTGACAGCCGAAGCTTACCAGACACACCACGCAAGTGGGTTTGATTTTGATGCTGTTCATCACTGGAAGGGAGGCCGAAGAAGAGAAGACAGGAAGCGGTTTGACGAGTACCTTGACCGAATCACTGCACGTTTGATATGGTTCAAGCATTACAAGACAATGTGGTCAAGCATTACATTATAATATAATGTGAATTTATATAATCAATTTGCACCATTTGTGGGCAAGGAATGGTTTCAATGCAGAGCAGCGAGAGATGTTTGAAGATCTTGTCGTCGGAGTGCAGCGCAAGCAAGAACACAGCTCAGCCACCCACAATTTCTGAAAGAGCTGACAAGAACAGTCTTGGAAAAGCACAATCACACAGAGAGTTGTTTGAGGCGCGCATTGCTCAGATTGACGAGGAGGGTATTGACCAAAGACCCAGCAAAGCAAGAACAGCCCTGAACAAGGAGGCATTGCCCAGCAAAATTAGAGTCGAATATGTCTTTTCTCACATTTTCTCACTACAGAAGCTCGAGTGGAGGGCATCTCTGAGCGATGTTGCACATTGTTGCATTGAATAGTTTCAACAGAGTTTCAACAGATGTCACTTCAATTCAACAGGCCTCAATCTCTTTGATTTATTGTTATTGATTTGGATAGGGCCCAAAAGGTAGAGAGAGGAGTCGCGCTCAGTCAATTCCGATCCATTCTCCATTCCAGGCGCTGGAGCTTCGGAATGCCATTGAACGTGTTTGCCCCAGACTGGCAACAACATGTTCACATCAAACGCAATGTTGTTCACTTCATCAATGCGTATTACAGTATGCATACCCCTACATGCAATGACCACCTTTGCTCTCATTGAGCCAATTCAGGCAACTCAGCCTTTGTCCCCTTACGTCTCCAAAGCAGTTGCTGGTGTGCGACAAGTATTGTCCCAAAGTTGGACGGCAAAAGAATTCAAAACACTACTACTGTTGTACAAACCATTTTATATTTCGTAGAGAGTTTGTGTGGCTGCCCGTCAGGCGATTTGAAGGATATGCAACAACTCATGACGATCGGCGAAGGGCAGCTTGTGTCATCTTAGTGCCGGAGACAGCTACGGTTCGTGTTGAACAAGGATAAAGACCCCAAGACATGTCAAGTTTGGTCTGAAATCCTACTGAACCTACAGGCACAAAGGCATCAGGCATGGGTCACATGATCAGTGAACCTGCACCGTCTCACCCAATTCAAGTGCCATCCAGAGTGGCCCGTGTTCATTGGCTGTACAGCCTGCGTACCCGTGAATCTGCGGGTTACATTAAGATTTGGTGCGGGCTGATTGGAAGGTACTAAAAAGCACAAACCGCAAACATATTTGCTGGATGGCCAGCACCGGACATGTGGTGTGTTGGAACGTGTTTTAACTGAGTCATTTAAGGCAAAGGCACTTGCAGCTGCGCAGGCTGCACCAGAGCTGCATAATTGCATGCCAAGCTTTACCATTTTCGAGCATCCTTGGTCAGCTGTTGCTTATCACGGGGCCAATCTTGGCCAGGCACCTGGAGTTGGATTGGGTGCGTTCACGCCTCAGGATTGAGATTCTGGATGATTCTGGTGAATTGTGGTATCTATTTGGCTACCATCCGTGCTCATGCATGCAGTTGCTTTCTATGCCAACTGCTGATTGGTGAATGCCAATATGTCTGGATGTGCTCAAATCAACTAAGGCCCGCCTACCCACCAGTGCCACTGTCTGAGTCGTGGAAGCCAAGCGGTTGCCTTCTTGCACTCGAAAGTACAGCCTAACCAGGCCAAGCCCGACCCTTGCACCACCAGACGTTGTCAAGGACAGCCACGAGACTCCTACAGAACGAAATACTGTACGCAGTGTTTTTGGTAATTCTTGTTTTTGGCTTGGGCTTTACGTTGGGGACAGTGAAATACCTGACCCAGGAGCAGATTGATTTGCTGAAACGGATGTTGCAGGTGAAAGGGTGCCCAGCAGGGAGGGTCAGCGAAAAATTTTACACCGGTGAGTGACCCACCGTTGGCAGTGTGCAGATCGGAGAGGTACACCTTATCATCCGGCTTGGTTCTTTTTGACCAGACTGGTGGTCGGGACGCCCATCTCCAGACGGCCAGGCCAAAGATCCACTCGAGGATGCCCTTTGTTCCTAGTATATAGCTTCTTGCTCCTAGTAGTAAGGCCAGGAGCCCCTAGTAGCGTCCTTGTTACTAGTAGCAATGCCCTTTGCTCCTAGTAGCGTCCCACAACCTTTGACTACAGAATAGAAATGTAATATGCACTCCGCATCAACTCCTACTGTAAATGTGTAGGCATTGCAGTTATGTCCCTGTGCTTCTCAGCAAAGGCAATATTGGTCTTGTAGCCGTTGTTTGGGCCAAGACTCGTTGGGGTTGGGGTCAAAATGAGGAGAGTTACAATATATTTGTCCTGAATGGCTGGACTCAAGTTTCCGGTGAACGCGGCGAAAACACAAAATGTAACACGCCCTGCCAATTGCTGAGGTGGGACATTGGATCGTCCCGGGTTCATGAGGTTTCTTGACTGGGTCAGCCACCAAGTGTGACTTTCAAATTGAATCCATGGGTGAAACTTATTTATATATATATATATTTGTATATATAATAGTGGCATGGAAAGGCAGTGACGTGCCATCCATTCCATAGAGGGTAGGATGCACCGACGCTCACACATATGTAGAAGGCATGATTTGTTCCAAACTGTGCCAATGGCCAAACGCTTTCGTGTTCAACTCAAGGCGCAGGCAAGTATCCCAGTCGTGGATCAAGATGCAATTTTTCAGCGGTTTTATGCTGGTCCTGGCCTTTTGCTGGAATCTCAGCGAGGGCCTTTCGTCATAGATCATGCAGCCCTGCCCTGCCCTGTCAATCTAGTCAACGGTAGGCATTCATCGCACATGAAGCCGTTGAGGAACTACCGCGAGCTAATCAGCCTGCATGAGCCCGCATCTTGAAAACGAATGAAAACGACATGTTCCGTGGCACTCCATGGCATTTAGTGTAGTTTAGTCATTTAATTTAGTCTTCAAGTTTGTTGTGTTACATTGTAATAGCCTTCCTTCACCAAAGTAAAGAGTGAAAGTGAATGCAATTATTTGAGGCCTGCACCTGTGCCAACAGGCTTGCACCTCACTACAGAAAATACTATGTATCATGCCGGTATGGAGTCGGATCTGGTTCTTTTTCCAAGGTGCGCCAATACCACCTAGCATGCCTTTTGCAGGTGCACCGCCGATGCTTCCCGCAGCTCCTGCGGTGCCCTTGCTCTTGCCACCAGCCCCTAGCATATCCACAACTCCAGCCATCCCTGCAGCACCAGCACCATTGCCACTGCCTCAGGCACCTGCCACAACACCAAGCTTGCCGGCTGCACCCTTGCCGCCTGCGGCTCCAGTTCATTCAACGCCACTTCCAGCTCCACCAATTAGAAATGCACCAGGTCCCCCTGCACCATCGCCCACCGTAGGCCTCACACCAGCTCCTCCAGCTCCCACAGGGCCCACAGTGCTAGGTAGACCTGGTTTGCCAGCAGCACCTATGCCCCCCCGCTCCAGGCCCTCCGAGACCCATGCCACCAGCAGCTCCTGGAAATTTGCCTGCACCACCAGGGCCTGGCCTTTCAACACTCGGCAGGCCAAGCCTTCCACCTGCACCAGCAGCTCCACTGGCACCGGCTGCACCACGGGCGCCTGGACTTCCAGGTGCCTCTCCTCCCGTGCCTCCTTCTGCACCTTTTGGCCCCCCTCCAGGCCCTCCACAGCCTTTGGCCCCAAGCGCCCCAGGCCCCTACACTTCCCTTTCAACACACTCCTCACCGCCACCCCCTGCTCCGAGCCGCCCAGGAGCACCAGGGCCACCAGGACCACCAATCTCAAGCAGGCCAAGCACCTCTATCTCAACAGCCCGCCCTGGAACGTCCTTTTCGTCTTCGTGCGCTCCATCAAACCCTTTGCCTCCAACAGCGCCGCCAGGTCCAAGTAGGCCTGGCTCACTATTATCTCCATCTCCTCCACGGCCAGGAACATCAATGACCTCCTTTTCCTCCACTTCAGCACCTGGACCACCTCCAGCTTCTCCAGCCGGATGGTCTCGACCAGGAACCGCACCTCCCCCTCCTGGTACAGGAGCCCTTTCACGTCCAGGCCCATCAGCACCTCCACCAAGCCCAGGAGCGCTGGGGCGACCAGCCTTGCTGGGCTCCTCACTCTCTAGAGGTTGCCACAGCTCGATTTCTGCTGCTCCTGCCCCGCCACGTCCGCTCGCGGTGCTGTCCTCAAGTATTTCTGGTGCGAATTGCAGCTAACAGTGGAGTAAGCAAAATGAATAATACCGACTTTTGAGCTGTTTGCATGATTTGGCTCGGCATGGGGAACCTCAGGCATCTGTACGATTTGGCTGATGGTTCCTGGGCCTATGCCTATGTTGCTTCTTGCAATTCGGCAATCCAAAAGGGATATTGAAAATAATGATATCCTAGAAATCCAAAGGAAACATATTATATAAATACTATAAGATAATAAAAGAATATGTTTGTATGTTTTTAAAAACATGGTTGTAATGTACTGTAATAAACAAGACCCCCCCCGGCTGGAGAGTGCCGATGCCGCTGCAGGGTGCCGCTGCTGTGCGCGCTTGGGAGTTGGGTGCCGCTGCTGTGTGCGTTTGTTGTTGGTATCGTGTACGTATTTCTTTGGGTCCGCGCGATGCAAGGCAAGTGAGGAAGCCGCGACACCTTACATCCAATGATTTGAGTGCTATTTGGAGTCTATGCTGGCGCAAAATGTCGGTGGATGCAAACGGCTTATATAAACAGAAAATATATACGAACGGGGGCACAGGATGGACCACGACAACACAAACAAAGGAAACCCGTGTGCGCTGCGAGCCGACCGAAGATTAAACACGTGATCGTTTCTCTCGAAGCTTGGACCTTTCCCGTTGTGTTGCTTTCGCTCCAGGGTATTGCTGCCAGACGTGTGGCCGCTGTAGGATGTGCGCTTTGGAGCCTGGGTGCTGGTGCCGCTGTAGGATGTGCGCTTTGGAGCTTGGGCGCTGGTGCCGCTGCAGGGTACGTGTGCGCGTTGGAGCTTTCGTGCCGCAGCCGCTGGAGGGTGCCGCTGCCAGAGCTGTTGCAGGGTGCGATTGCCAGATATTTAATGTTGGGCCGTGTGCGCTTTCGAGCTGTGGTGCTGGTGCCGCTGCAGGTTGCCACTGCCAGATGCGTGGCCACGTGCGCTGTGTGCGCTTTTGAGACTGTCGTGGGGCCGCTGCCGGAATGGCTCTGTGCTGTAGGGGGTGCCGCTGCTGCGACACCACAGAAATCATTTCGCTCTCTGGGTCTATGCTGGCGTAATTCTCTAGATAGCGTAAGCTTTTGGGGTTCTTACTTCAAGAAAAGAGCCGCATGTGTGCGATTGCGCGCTTGGGTGCAGGGTGCCGCTGCTTGGGAGTTGGAGCACAGGGCATCCGCGCCGACAGAGCAAGTAGAGTGCATCTTGGCCGCGTCTTGCGAACACGCGAACAAAACTTTTGGAAACGTCAAATCACCAACCTTTCTTCGAATTAATACATATAAATGATTTATACCAAATGATTGGAATATCTTGGAATATTTTTCAATAATTTAAAGAATAAAGGTCAAAGTCAAAGCCACAGATGGATTGTATTGAAGTTTGGTGCGAGTGGATGTCTGAGATTGGTGTGAAATGAATTGCGTGAATTGAGTGTCGAAAATTCAATTAATATCGGTCGGATTTGTGCGGCTTGGTTCGATGCAGTTGAATTGCGCGGGGGTCTTTATGCGTGGAGGGAGTTGGTGTGAAGTGCATTGGTTTGGGATGTGTTGTATGAGTTTTAGTTGGAGTCGTGTAATTTGGGTTTATGGGAAGTGAATTCGATGAATGTTGATTAAATTTTTGTATGTTTATGCGATATTACGAAAGGTAGCCTGATAAGGATTAGTTTGAATTTGTTTTCCGAAGCAAAGGGACTGGTTTGAGAGCTTGCTCGGAACTAAAAATTGGTAGATTAATATTAACCCCCCCCTCGTCCATTCCTCTTTTTGTCTCCTCTTCTCGTCGCTAGCATTATTATAATCCGGACTTAAGGTGAAATTATGCGTTTTACGATTATAGTAATACGACGTTGGTTTTGAGGTTGCGTAATATAATACGAAGCCGAGCAACGAGGTCGCGCAATGCAATTTCGATGCCGCGCGCGCGCACCCGGCAGTTTGACCCAACGCGTATTGCATTAATAAATCATGTTGCTCGATACTAACGAATATCGATGCACCATAACCTCTTTGTAAAGCCCTGTGGAGAAATCTTTCGCGTCGCGGAATATTATTCGACGCAGCCGTATACCTTAACGTGGCGAAATTTTACCGTATCGTTCCCCTCTAGCATTATCCTTACAAGGGATTTGGTCCTGATACAATGCGTGCAATTGTGGGATTATAATTGGTATATATATGCGAGCGTTTATGCGCGCCTGTTTTCACCCCTTGACATAAACGAGCGTCGACGCAACGTGACCTCTCTGCAGAGCCGTGTGGCGCAATCTGACCGCAACGGTGTTCTTCTTGAGCCTTCTTATGCCTTCTTGTGTTCTCTGGTTTTGTTGGTTTCATCTATGATTGACTAAGGGGCACGTTCCCGAAACACCGGAGACAATCCCTCACCAGAAACGGTCCCGATAGCTATTCGGTCCGTCTCTACCTTTCGTATTTCCCTGCTCAAATTATATATATTGTTTTATATTAAATAATTAATTGATTTTTAACAATATTATATAATAAATTTTGAATTTAGATTAATGAATTATAATATATATATTGATATATTGAAATTTATTGGTATATAACATGTTTTGAATAAATAGATTATGGTTTTATATTTTAAGGTTAATATATTTTTTTGTATTGTATTATTATTTTTTTGATTTTAAGATGCATATGGGATAGGTGGAATAGAACCTATATACAAATTATTAATTTATATATTTGCAATTAAATAGGCAGAAAATTATGGGGTTTTAAAGAAGATTAAACCAAAAGGATTAAAATTGGGGGCGGTAATATTTTCTAAGCAAATCCAACGGCTAAAGGTCATAAAACAAGAAAAGATCGCTGCTATGGGGAAGGAAAAATTAAAAATCTATTTATTTAATGTTGCCGTAATATTGCCGCTTAATAACGAATTTTTTTTGATGGCTTCAAAAACGCTTTCGATAAAATAATATCGTTACCATTTAAAATTGGGGGGTGTAAATCCATACATATTTTGTTGATATATCGATAATTAATATATAATATCAATATATTATATATATTTCATTAATCGAATAATTTGGATTTTGTAGTGCCCTTTAACACCTTTTCCTTTCCACCTGGATCGTGCATGGAGGTTCATGACGAATTTGAGTTGGCTCAAGCCCAAATGAGCCTGAAGGTGATAGCCCCAATTGCCATAGCATCAGGTGCATCCTACATCGGGTACCTCAAGATATCCATAGCTGTTTGGGGTTCCCATACCGTGGGAAAATTGGCCACGAGTTGGGCTTTACAGGTTCTGGATTACATAGAGGATCAGGTCGAAGCGGTTGGACAGCTTGCTTTTTACATCGGTTGTTTCTTGCTGTTTTACGAGCTGCGTTGTGAGTTGTTGACAGTAGTGAAATTTCTGTTTCGGGTGGCTGTCTACATCCTTTCTTTGAAGGAGGGTTCTGATCTGATTTGTATTGAATCCAGTGCTGGCTCTCCCTTTGTTGGAAGAGACCACGTGGAGTTCACCTGCTATCAAATGGCCGCGGCAGCAGTGGAGGGGTTTTTGCTTCTGGAACGAGCTGGAGAGTGGGACGAAGTTTGGTCAGCTGGAGTAGTGCCGGGCTCGACTGAACTATTGGCTAGGACGACAAACACTGACGGGACATCATGGATTTGGACCTTAGTTCAAGTGGTGTCAGCAGCAATTCGTTTTCCTACCGGGGCTGGGAATGCACGAACCGCTCCGGCCGGGGTTCCGGGGGGATCCATCAATTGGATTTGTGCACCAGAGAGCTTGGACCAGAAGTGGAGTCCAACTCCGGCAGAGGTGTTATCTCTCAAGCAGGAGGCGCAGCTCTTGGCGCTTCATGTGAGCCGCCAAGGCCTCAGGAACATGGCGATGACAGTGCCGGGCAGTGGAGGAGACGTTCAAGAGCTGCAGCTGGGGCCAGTGGCGCCAGGCGGGGCTTTGGTTCAGCCAGCGCCAGGGGGTGCAGGGGCGCTCGGGCCTGCGGTCGGAGGAGATGCTCCGGCTTAGTAGGCAGATGGCTTCAACATGCAGGCCCTATCCAACGTCATCCAGGAGTTGAAGGAGATGTCACGATAGAGTGGCAAATCCAAGAAGGACCGAAAATCCAAGCACAAGAAGAACTAAGAAGAAGGACAAGAAAAGCAAGAAGAAGAAGAAGAAAAAGCGTCGCAGTTCCAGCAGTCGGACAAGCTCGAATTTAAGGTCCCGGTCAAGCAGGTCCAGCAGCAGTGGAACAGGATCGAGTCAGTC